TTTTTTTTTTTTAAATATGTTAGTAAGAAGTGCACTCTATACATTGGTGTGGAGTTTGCTTGAAATGGCCTTATGGTTTTCTTATAAATTGACCGGAAAAATGGGGGGATGGTTAACCTTCTCTCTAAGCTTGACAATTCAACTTTCGAGTTTTGAACCCACATAAAGCGCCGGATCACTAGTGACTCATTCTTTCCCACCCTTGCATGTCCTCAGACACATCACTTCCAAATAAAGTCTCTTTACAGTACCCGCTCCTGACCTTTAGTACTAGTCCGGATAATAGTAACTACCTAGAGCGCCCAATTTGTGCAAAAATGAGCCCGAGGAACAAACGATCATTGACACTAGAATAGACCAGTGGCGAGTGGGCGGGAACAAAACCTCGAAAGGACACTGATGACAACTCACGAATGTTTTTAGACTATGAAGGAGATTGAGAATCAATTGATTCAAGGCACCAACTCAGCACGCAAGTTTCGCACGTCTCGCTCTCACAAAATGCGACTCTCTACCCCCATGCGTAATACTAATTCTTTACGCAGTCGTCTACCCATTCCAGCCTTACTGAAACAAGAACAAGCCTTGGAAAAACGAACCAAGAGGAAATGTAGGTGACGTCAACACCTCAATCACATGCGTCATCTTACGCGAGGTCTTATTTTGGAAGCTCACACTCGCTGCTAGCAATCCTTTCTCACGGGGTCGTCTTTGTCAGAGCTCTTGTTTGAGGCCTCTCCACAGGTCTCTCCTGATACATCCCTACTTTGTATTTCTCCGGTAGTGAGTGACGTCAATAGGGTAAGTCATGCATTTTCCTCACAAGAACCACGAGCTCACTAGTAGAGCCCACCCCGTGATAGGATTCACGACGAGCAACACCCCTCCATGATGGTTACGAGCGACCTACAACGGACTCAAGCTTGGAATATCGGAGCATAAACGACAACGAAGGGTTTAATCCTCCCTCACATACTTCTTCAGTAGTCGACAATTGCTGCTCGAATGTCACCAGTTGACATCAACGAGCAGAGGGCGTGCCTATCTTCGCACATCATCCCTTCGAGCAGTACACTGCAGTCACTCTTCTTTCTTTTTGTCCTTACCCCTTGTGCACAGTCTCACCTTTCGAGTATACTGACTCGTTTCTTGATCTCGGCTAACTGCGCGTTATCGCTTTCTCTCTCTCTGATTGTTCTCCTCTCTTGTCTTCTTGTAAACTGCCTCGCCTCTCACAACACCTTTCAAACCGACTCGGACTGTGACCAAGATGGGCCTAAGATCATCGTCGGCACGCAAGGTCCTCTGGTATCGCGGGAGCTAACATGGTGTCTCGTTGGTCACGTACTAGCTGACCTGAGCGCGCTGTCGGAGGGCGCGGTGTTCCGGCCCTCCGCTGCGAACCAGCCCATTCGTTCACTTACCGCTGCAAACCGGTCCATTTGTTCACTTACCGCTGTGAACCAACCCATCCGTTCACTTACCGCTGCGAACCAGCCCATCCGTTCACTTACAGTTGCGTGCAAGTCCGTCCGTTCGCTTACCGCCTCAATCCCAACACCAGTCGCTGTGTCATGTGGAACTGGCAAGTCAGATACTAGGCTTTCCCGTGGTACCGCGCAGGTCCTGCAGCTTGCCTTACAGTGTATATTGTTCCGAACCTGAAGTGACATCAGGGTGCCTAGTGTGGCGGAAAAGGGGGTAGCATGGTCAGCCTCGTGTTGGGCGTCGACGGTCATGATCTGGGCCAAGTGTGGTAGTGGGATAGCGATAGTCGACTTGTTCTTTTTGACTGCACGACGGGCCCTTGTAGTCGTGTTCTGGGGTAGGTGCAGAAGCGACGGTCACCATTAAAAGAAAAGGGGAGAAAGTTCAAAAAAAAAAAAAAAAAAAAAAAAAAAAAAGAAAAAAAAAAAAAAAAAAAAAAAAAAAAAAAAAAGGAAAGTGGAAAATGGGAGAGGTCGCGCGTCTGACATGCGCCTTCATCTGGATCGTCATTTTCATCAGGGGCGATTTTGTGGTATGAGCGATACTGACACTGTGTTTTCCCCTTTCCTCCCTTTTTCCTTTTGCTATTATTAATATTATCATTATTATTATTACTATCATTATTATTACCTTTTCTCAGGACTTTCTGGCCTGTCATTTCGCGGGAAGGCCAACGGTTCGAATTTCGAGTTTAGATTGTGGTCTATGGCCTAAGTTGGCTGACCCCTCGTATATTGCCTATGGATGATCTGTCCGGTTGAGCGCCGCACAGTAGGACCCCAAAAGAGGGGCGACCCGTGGCCGCATCGGTAGGAGGCTTATCACGCTCCGCGGAAGGTCATAAGCCCCCTCCTTACCATCGGACACGGGTACCCCATCTGGGGTAGTCCGGCGTCTCCTTTTGAAGCGGGGAGGGTGTCCGTCGGGGATCCCATTATGGGACCACCGCGTCTAGCCTGCGGATCACTTCGTATTTGAGGTACAATGTTTAGTGGCTAACAAAGGGGAGTGGCATGATAACCGTTGGTGTCATGCCATTCGGTTTTTTTTGTTTTTTTGTTCTTTTTTCCCTTTCTTTTGCTCCGATTTACTTTATTTTAGTAAATTTTGAAATTCAAATTATTAAAATGTAGAACCTTAAGAGTTGTTTGGGTCCCTCATTCAGAGTGCGGGGGTCGCGATAGATAGTGACCCTATAAAAGAAAAGGGGACGCGTCAATTGCTCTGGGGCATAAGCGGTCTCATTACGCAAGAACCAGTGAATCTGAGAAGGGGAACCAGGCGGTGAAGTGAGCGTGCAAGCTCGTCCGTGCGCGTGTGGCCAGAGTATCTAGCTTTGGCTAGTTCGGAGCCGTCAGCCAGGTATCGCTCGCGAATCGCTTGGAAAAGGCTCGACCATGGCGCAGTAGCGGGCTGTATGGCTATAGGTCGAGATGCATCCAGTCCAGCTGGAGATGGGAGTGGATGTCGGGAGATGGGCCTACGGTGACGGCTATATTGGACTATATCTACGGTAGGCAGGAGGCAAAACTGAAGGTAGACGTAGAAGGGGGGAAAGAAGAAGAGACGAGGGCAAATCAGGGCTTACAGATGGCGATTACGGAGGCAAAGGGCCGTGCTGAGAGAAGGTGCAGGCGGGATGGAGTCACCGACGAAATCAGGGTGACGGTCTCGTATCTGGAAGCCGAGACTTCCACGGATACCGTTGAGAGGGAGCAACGACATTTCCACCGCGATACGGAAGCAGAAAGCGAGGCAAGCGACTTAGAGGCCACGGCCCAGTCCTGGCAGGGACTGGATCAGTGGCGACGGGACCACCCGCCCACTGAACTAGTGGAAAGTGGCCCAGAGGCCAACTCGAGACAACGGAGAGACCAGCACCGCCAGACTGAAAAGCGCGGGAGTCGACTCTCGGAAGAGAACAAGAACAAGGGCGTCGAGACTGGGACAAGGAGACAGTGAGGGAGGCCCGAGAACAACGTGTTTTCGAGGGAGGGGGCCCGTAGAGAGTTGCCCCGAGGCTAGCTCAAGGCGACGGGGAGGTCAACATGAAAGAAGAACAGGGGCCAGCGTGGCGAGACAGCTAGAGATGAGTAGAGACTGGGCTGCAGTGAGAAGGAGCGCGTGATAGATACGTGAGCATGGGCGACGAGGGGAGCGTCCAGTTGATGTTCTATCGCGAGCAGAAAGAGAGTGGTGCTGAGAACCCACGGGTTGCAAGAGAGAGGAAGAGAAAAAAGGGGGGGGGGCACAGGCTCTCTCTCCATTACCCGTCGATGTGACCTATCTAACTAGTGCAGCGCACTGCGAGGGGCCTTTCTGTGGCGCTGTCACCGGGCACTACGTTCCCTTCTCTAAGCAGGAGGCTGTGCGCGCGCGCCTAGGCTAGCTAGCATGTGATCAGCGGGACGTTGTGATAGTTTCCTGCATTAGCAAAGAAGTTTCGCGGCAACAGAACCAGGGGCGTTGAGCAGTCAAGATCAAGAGAGAGAGTGGGTTACTTGAGTGACTCGTTTGGTTGACGTCAACTTTCACCAGTGACTCGTTTGGTTGACGTCAACTTTCACCCAGTTGGAGTGATGAGATCTCTTGTTGCTTTCAGAAGACCGTACCATCTTCCGTCTTCGGAGTGAGCGCAGCCGCGAGCTAGTGCGCATAGTGTGGGCAACGGGAATGCAAGTACACGGCGGAAGTCGAATTCCCGAGAGACGTTCATGGGTGAATAATTGTTGACGTCACAGGCTATGACTGTTTTCTTTCTTTCTTTCTCCTCCCTCTCAGTCTCGGCATGATCGACGGTGAAGGCTAGTATCATACCCAACCTCACGTTCTGATAGTCAGTATCTGATGACAGGCAAAAAACTCGGGCAAAGGGTATGAGGGAGCAGGACGCTAGGAACGGGGTTAGCCGTGAGCCGAAGTGGAGTCAAACTAGTGAGCGTACATTTCAGGACGCGTGTTCTAGGAGGAGTATGGGTCAGCATTGACTTCTCCTGGTCAGGTCAACTAGCAACGAGCACCCTGGCTATATGCTAAGTTTGGCAAGTGTTCGGGGAAGCGTTGGGTGACATTATATGGGTTCGCTCGTCACTGTTGACGCCGCCCCTTTTTCTTGATATGACCGACCTGTGGCGATGGAACTGAAGAGAAGGTCACGGGGTGCTGTTTGTGATAAGGCCTGTTAAAGTAAGGAGGGCTCACACGTGCACCAGCCGAATATTGGCGAGCAAAGGGTTGGCTGGGTGAGAGGTGGTCGATATTTGGGGAGGGCATTAGTGAGAACGCGTTAGACAGATCTACACAGAAGGGTAGTTTAGTGGACGTCAACGCGCTCCGAAGCTCGTTCGCCGCATTAGAGCGATGATCATCTCTTGGCCATTACCTTCTATTCTGAGCATCGTTACTGGTGACATTCTGGGTATTGTTAATCAAGTAAGGCATGAGAGTTAGAAAGGAGTCAGAGTTACAAATGAGATCGGATGGGCACTTGTGGCGGGAACTGGGCGCTAACTAAGAGTGATTCGTACCTATGACAGAAGCCGTGATTGGAAATTGTCTGTAAATTGGACGAGTCGTATTAGGTAACCCATCACAAACCACCATGCAGTCAATCCCAATTACAGAGGAGGAAAAAGAGGGACTCACCGATCGTGAGATGTGACGCTCAGGCAATCGAAGTGCCCTCCCTCCTTTGCTTGCGGTTCGCGATTGACCCCAACTGTTCAAGCGTCTCCATTTTTACTAGTTTATGTGTACTGTATCGATGAACTGAGGGATAATCTTCCCTTAATGGGCAGTCGTTGAACTCTGTAATCAGTCTAATACACCGTATCACGCATATGCCGTGAGTGACAATTTGGTATTGTGTATTGAGAGCGGGAGATATTGTTAGGTTAGCGTGATCTATCCTTTTTCTGATAGGAGCCGTGGAGGGAGGAGAGCTTTCTAGGATTCGATCTGTCGAACCGGCTAATCTGATAAGACCATGGGATGTGACTCAAGTTTTTATCACCTATTTGTGTGTGTTTTACCCTCACCTCCGCCCGTTTGCATGTTTTGAGCTACCTATGGAATTATTAAACCTGAGTCGTTCTAAAGGTAACGAGAATGGCTTGGATTTCCCTTTCCCCATGAGCTCTTGCTCCTAAGATGCTTGCCGACTGGGTTTCGAATGACAAGCCATTGGGAATGAGTCTGCTGACATATAGTAATAAGGAAGAGGGACTGAGACCTCCTCACGCCATTGATGGACAAAAAACATTCTGTGTTACGAAGAATAGCGTACTTATTGGTAAAGTTCCTACTGGATGGTGATTAAAGAAGGGAGGAGGAGGAGAATAAGTATAAAATCTTGAACATAAACCCTGAGTTGAAGTCGATATGGAAAGAGAAAGCCATCGTTTGACTCTTAAGAATCAATTCATTCAGGGTTCTCTTTCACACTGTTTGATCAGGCCGATGCCGATAGAGCAAAAGCGTGTGCTACTCCTAAAAACGTTGATATTCCTGAGTTACCTTTGTGGTCAAATAGGACCGTGCTTCTGCCTTGGAAGTGCATGTTTTTAACCTATGTGTTCCCTGATGCGTGCTGGCATAGTGAAATGCCTTTTCATTTGTGGGTAGAGCTGTAAAACTACCTTTTGCTTCTTGAGCATTACGGTGAAGCCTCCCAATTGAGGCGCGAGATCGGCAGGCCTAGGATGCTGAACTCTCAGTGGGAAATGAGGAGTGTTCCCCTCCGGACATAATAGACATTCGAACACGAACTCATCCTATTTTGGCCTGATCCCTTCCAACTCGTGAGTGACACTACAATCAGAGAGTTAGCCCTCCCCATACAAACCAAGAAGCATCTGTTGATACGGAGCACCGCACTCAGGGACAATCCTATGTACTACTTGAGAGGACTGTAACTGACGGTGTTGTGTACTCGCCTAGGGGCGTTGGGGATTACTGTTAGTCATCATCAATGATCAATCGGGTGAAGTCTATCTTCGGTGGTAAAGTGTACTTCGTGCAACAAAAGTTGTTGCCTGTAATACCCCCAGTGTAGTTTGGGGAAAGACCATTTTGACGAACTCGACCTGGCATACTGTGTAGACTGGGACCGAGTTTAGCGCTGAGTACATGAGCGTGGGATATGCTTAACTGAGACCACACTCCGTTGTTCAGGTACTCCATACTCAGGCGGAGGGCGTGATCTGTCCTTAAGACCGAACGTAGAAGTGAGGCTCCTACAGATGGTCCTTGTTTCTCCGGTAGGTGAGGGACTGCTAAGTTTCACGGAGTTTGTGTTTTATATCCACGGGCTGGCGTGAGAGGGCATAACCATGTGGGACTCAGATGGAGCGACCTGCGCCCTGTGATCCTAGATTGACGTAACATCTACCTCTGGAAGTTCATCGAGGACCCTCAGAAAGTATTGGTCACTACTTGTAGCAGGTCTTTTCATGCTTCGTTAGCATCATTGGCAATGTGCAAGAGACGCTCTTCGTCTTTCGCTCTCGATATTGTCATTTTCTCAGACGGATAACAGTTGACCCACGTGTTTCTCGTGATGTTTTACTATGAACCCTGGCTGGACCATTGACATTTTTAGTTGACCCAGGTGTTTCTCGTGATGTTTTACTATGAACCCTGGCTGGACCACTGGCATTTTTAGAGTGAGTTACCACTCATTCCTCCAACGGAGATTCAATACCAAAGGTTAATCATTACGTAATCCCGGTCAGTTGCTCTCCGGTCAGTTTCAGTCAACCAACACACCCATTGGAGACACATAAATCCAGTCTCAGTGCTCGTTTTGCATGTGAATATAACCTAGCTGCTTCAGGTCAGTGAGTCAATGCGAGCTCCTCTCATTCCGAACGCATCAGGCCGTCTGATACCCTGTAGATTAGACCTTGAAGGGTGAGCCCATCATCCACCTTGGGTTGAAAGGTTAAACGTGGCACTCTAACTAATTCTAAGCAAGCCACCTAACTGTAAAAATTGGATAAGTTCGATAGTCACTTTTGTTCTCCTAAATTGATTTTGTATATGACTCTATTTGCTCTCGAGAGTTAAAACGATCTGTAATTAAAGGTACTTCTTGTCTGTTCTCTGTAAAATATTCGTTTGGACGAGGAACCCTAGGCACGAGAACGATCTTCCTTTTTACGTGCGGAGCCCCCCTGGAGTTACCCGTGGCCCAACCTACTCTTTGCTGAGATTTGGGATGTGTTGGAGTCGTGAGGGAAGGGGAGGTCTTGGTGATGAAATGTCATGTCACTCTGGAAAGATATGAAAATGGGAAGAAGAGGCATGCCAAGACATGGACTCTCACGGACAAACTCAACGAGAACATGCAGTCCGGATATTCAAAAAGGAAAGGTATATAAAATATGTGTCCTACTTTTATGGTCGCGATGGTAAGCTACACAATACCGGCTCACTCCTAGAGATGGTGGAGCAGGCCCGAACAAGACTCAAGTGAGTACAAAGATATCGAAATCTCACTATTAGCATTTCAAACTTCAAATAACACCCAACGATCAGCTACGTTTTCAGCGTTCCGCCACTGTGTGACCAATGTTCAATGATTTATTATCCCAGCAACATTCAACCATCTGTCAATCAACACTCATTTTTACTTGCCTCAGGAGATCAGTTTTTAGACGAACAACGTTTCTCTACGATGACATTGGATCAGCCTCTATAACCACTGCTGCATATGAGTACAGTTCAGTCATCCCCTGTTAACGGGGCAGTCTTGACCAATCTCAACCAGATTCCTCTCAAGGATGCCTTTCAATATCAATACCTCAGTGCAGTCTGTTTCGTTGTCCTCACCAGTTTCGCAGAGGGAAGTATTTATGACCTGAGACTACGTGAAAAAGGGCAAGGAAACTCATGAACATTTTGACTTAGTCAGGATTGCTGCCGCTAGGTACCTTGAGGAGAGAGAAAGGGAGCTTGA